GAATGGGTTTGCCAGTAAGGTCAGTTAAAGTAGATAGTGCACGAGCTTGGGATTCAGATGTACCTGTGACAAGTCGTGACCAATCGGAGCAACTGTGAAAAGTAACTTTGCTTTTTTTTTTTGGGGGGGGGGGGGCACTGTTGAAAGAGAAGGGTATTCTTAGAGCAGGGGGCTGTGGGGGAATCACAAAGAATTGATCCCACTTGGCTGGACCAAAGAGAGTACTCAAAAGGTTTGCAGAGGTAGAGGCAATAGAAGGACAAGGGCGGGAGTAAGATCGGGTGGTGTCGAGTGTAGTAGTTCTGTGGGGAAGAGGACAATAAGGATGAAGAGTATTAATAAGGGAAGAGGGGGTAGACATGGTAGAAGACTGTGCATTAGATGGAGAGGAGACTGTTGGGAGAGAGGAAGGGGTGCATTCTGAAGGTTGAGTAATAACCTGGGTGGGTGGTTCAGAATGGATGGAGTTGTCAGTAAACATTGAGGAAGGGGTATTAGTATCAGTGGTTTGAGCCGTGGTCAAAGGAGGGACAGAGGTCAGAAATCCAACATAATCAAATTTAGATAAGCTACTTCATGAAAGGGCAATTCTTAATGCCCTTGTCAAGGGTAAAGAATCCTCATTATTGGCCATGGTGAGCCTATATAAAATTTGGAAAAGTAACAGCCTACCCTTCAGGGTACCCCATAAAGGGTAAGGGCTAGGCAATTAACCAAAGGAACATCATGCCTATGGCTCCAGGAGACAATTCATACCAGACACAAAGCCAGCCGGTTAAGGTTACGATAGGACTGCACCGACTAGGAGAAAATTGAAGATCAAAGCCTTGTTGGCAATGAAAAACTACATTCATTGCTATCAATATTAATTTGCAGAAGCGAACCTATTTGAGTTAATCAACGAAAATGTGGCACGCAGAATGCTGCAGAGACTAAGTCCCCATGCGTCTCAGTGACAAAGTCTAGCCCTCCTCACATCGCAGCGAACCACTTAGCTGCACGGGAACTCAACATGAACTGTTTTGGCGCATGTTGCTCGTGACGTCATGGCAAATTTCTTATAAGTGCACTGTAGTAAAATCTGGTTCTGCATTCTTATCTATATGAAATTTTAATGAAATACACATTTATCAAATGTTCATTCCTTAAATACACGATGTGATCGAATTTACCATATACATACCATAGTTTCATTAGAAACACATTGTACGTCCATATTCCATCCATCACTGCCCTCTCCTAGCAAATTTGAGAGTTCTGTTGCCACAGCTCCCGTTGTTTGTTCTAAGGTGGATTGTTTACAGTGCTACTTGTGTTTCCGATTTTTTTCCAACTTTGTGGTGAATTCGATCGTCAGTGGTTCGTCAATTCCTAAGTTTATTTATGGTGTCCCATCAATTTATGGTAAACTCATTTTGTATTTCTAAATATAGTCAGTGGCGATCTAGAGGCACCAGTAGGGAATTGGATGATCGGGAGGGGGTCTGGCGGCGGACCCCCTGGTATAGAGATAAGGCAATTGGGAGGGGGTCCGTGGGCAAAGCCCCCTGGTAGGGAAATATGGCAATCAGGAGGGGGTCCAGGGGCGTAGCACCCAGGTTGGGTGGGTTTTTGGCTCATACAGCAATCCTTCTGGTAGTTCGTGTGTTTAAGATGTAGTTCACTCACTCGTTCATTTGCGCAACACCTTGTCAAATCATCCATGGCCGAACTTTGTCTCAGGTTTTTATATTTTTTTATTCTTTGTCATGTGAAATACTATTCTTGGCTTGGATTTTCAATTTTCCACAATCTTTTGCTTTTTAAAATGCATGGTAAAAACGAAAATCACACCCCAACCCCAGATTCCCCACGGGATCCCCCAACATTGTTGGCGGTAGTCGGGGACTTCATCTCTTCCTTGAAGAGTAAACTCATTTCTTATTTTACACACATCTTTTGTTGGACTGTGTTACTTACTTACTTCTACAGCAACAATGGATACTCGACATATATTTTCTATACAAAATATAACCAAATCTTCATGAAAAATAAGTAAAAACTCAACAGAAAAATACCAAACAAAAAATAGCGCTTTCGACCACAAACAGAGCAAAATTCCTAATAATAATAATTAACAGTTATCCTAACGCCAACAACAAAAACTGAATCAAATGTAGGCAACTCACACTACCCTAAGGTCGCAAAGATAACATGAAAAACACGTGTTAACGAGAAAAGTCTCCCAAAACAACGTACTTCTCAATACTTGTCAAGAATAACATGTTTTCCCCGGAGTTCAAATGACCTGTTTCTGCCTCTTTAACATCATGAACGCATGTCTAATGGCGATGTCTGATATTCTGGTGTTCTCTGGACATATGACAACACTTTGCACAAGGAAATGTGGCTTAAATCACCGTTATCTCTCACCTCAAATAACAGGATCTCCTTCAACGTGCTTTCTTCACTGTGTACAAAATAGAGTCTAATTCGACCGACTTTGTCCCGCTTTAAGTAT